ATCAATAAAGGGTAGTGGAATTTCTGGTCGGGCGACGAATCTCGAGCCATAGGCAATCAAGCCTGATCCGACGCACAAGCAGTAAGCCAACGCACAAATCAGTGATTCACTACTAACTGCAGAACTAAAATTTCGCCAAATGTTGCTGGCGTGAGAACTGGTAATCCCTTCAGGTATACGTCAAGATCGCTTGCAGTTTAATCAATACAAGATAACTTGAAAAATCGTCAGATGCATAAAAGTGGAGAAGCAAAATATGAATTACAGCACAGCTACGTATCCTACATAACTGGCCGTCAGGCACAGCAATAAACAAGACCACGAGCGGCCTGCAGAGGAAAATGAACGAAGCGGAAGAACTAAGATGCAAAGCTGAACGGAAGTACAGCATACGCTGTAAAAAGACGGTACAACTGGATCAAGGCAGTAGAGTCAGTCGTCATGAACCTGCGACGCAAAACTTTTGAGTGCTCGTACGTGAATAACACTCATATCTGAGGTCTGAATTTGAAATTTTTAAATTGTACTCGGACAGAGAATATCCCTTTAAAATTTCGGTCTTTCAAAGCATCTTGTTTCCGACTTAGTCATTTTCCAGCCAAAACTTTCATTTGGTCGTACACGTGGCTCAGGCGTGCCTGAAGGCTTGGTCGAGGAACCTGTCGAGGAACACTTGGTCGAGGAACCTGCGGGCAAAACTTCAGCGTCGAAGCCTGCTTGGCTGCCGAATTGAAACACCCGGACAGACCTCACACACGTACATATACACACATGCACAAACACACACAAACATACACTTATACTATGGTCGTCACAATATGCGCTTTGCATCTGCATATATGCAAAAACGCACAGTAAATGTTGCAAAACGGTGACGGAAAGTTGCTGAAAAATATAACTTGTCTCGTCGCGCCGTATTATTCTGAATGCTTTTACTATTTACTTTAACACCGAACCATCGTGTAAAAAAAGTCCTTAAACATCAAACGCGTTAATTTTAGCGGGAAGATTTCATCCTTCCAAAGCACTCAAATTTTTTGGGCTGCAAAAGATCTTCGATCAGAAACTATGAGTCGATATGCCACTCACTCTCCTACGAGCCACTGTCCTCGCTTCCTCCCCACCCTCTCGTCTGCCTTCTCTCAAATTCAAGACTATTACGCTAGCAAACTATTTTATCGAAGTTCACCGACTTGTCTTCAAAGAACCGATGACTTTTCTCCGAATATATGCAAGTATCATTACCAATTCGACGATTCAAAATTCCTTGTCCGCTATTTGACAGCGGCTGACAGAATGGTATTTCTGGCGGCCAGCAATCGGGTTGACTCCCTTCATAAGGATCCAACCACGGGAAATTAATGTGCAGCATCAAATCGTCTAGTAATTCTTAAAGTATAAGGAGAATGAATTACACGGGAATGGTTTAATCAACTTCTGGAAAGAAAACTTTGTATCTCATAGAAGGCACTATGCTCAAAACAATCACTGCCAGAATCTTTGAAGCGAACTGCTTAGAAACGTTTCGCCTTGCCCTTCTGAATTACATCCTTAATACAGCCGAGCATCTTCAATTAATTTATGCACCTTATTTTACATTATTTGCAATCACATTGGCTAAATCCTCAATTTCTGGTCCAACCTGATCTCCACTCCGCATCTCTATTTTCTATCTTCGTTGCACAAGTAATTTTGCAATTACTCTTAGCACAAAAGAAATGTTTCCTTTAGTAAATAACCTTACAGGTATCTCTCCAAAAATTTTCTGGATTGGATATGGAACCAACAACCCCTTCTATGGTAAGGTTTTACATCAACTTTACTTCATACCTGCACTCTTAACTTTTATCTTTACCCATATTAATTTCAACAACACAACTATTTAGATTAAACTCAAATTCATACTAATTACCACAGTCTTCGTACTGAAGAGGTCCAATTGTGATAATGGTAAGAAATGAATGCGATTTAGTGGACCGAAACATTCCTTACCATTATAAAATATTTTGCAATACATCTCAAGTTTTACTAATTTCTTAATACCACTAACTTTTTCCTTCCAAAATTAAAATATTTTTATTTCCTAAGTTTATACCGAGCAGTAAATTGCAGACATTACTAGAATATGAATTATTTCCGTAAAATGTTTACCTAACGCGCGTTCTTCGCTCATATTATCGACAGTGCTGTTTTCAAAGAGCTG